CTCAGATAGACGAAGATTATCCTCTCTCCGACAGACCTCGGATAGACGAAGACTATTCTCTCTCCGACAGACCTCAGATAGACGGAGGTTTATCCTCTCTCCGATGGCCTTCGGATAGACGAAAATTTATCCTCTCTCCGATGGCCTTCAGATAGACGAAGATTTTATTCCCTTCCTGATGGATCTCGATTAGACAAAGATTTATACAGACCCAGATGGATCTCAGATAGACGAAGATTGTATTCTCTCTCCGATCGATAGACCTCGGATAGACATTGATTTAATCCGCAGTCGTTTTACTTTAACGTGTCGATGTTATTGTCCATTTAACAATAAAATAAACCCTTTTTTATGAGACATTGAGACATTGATTTACGTGGTAACAGCTTTACGCTTCACGTGGTAACAGCTTCACGTGGTAACAGCTTACACCCACAGGTGTTAGTGACTTTTCGAACACCTGGCTTCAAACACAGACATCACAATATTATTGTACAACACGAGCTGGCGCTCTACCGTTTACAGCCTCTGATTCACGCCGAGCTGTTTGTGTTATACCTGTACGCCGTGCATGTACTTCAATTTTCAAAGTAGCGTGCTCTTCTACCAAAATCAGTTGTTTACGCCTTAAATTAAGATATCTTCTACATCGTACATGTAAAACGGCACCAAAAACAAGCGCAGATTCACACGCCTGGGTTCTCCATTGTATAGGCTGCGGCAGATATGTCTGAATTTAAAACTCTTGAATTGTTAATAGATAACAGAAACACGCGTGTATCTCTATTTTTAGTTTCCCGACCTTAATCTGAGAGAGGTTTCAGTAGTTCAATAATAGGCTATATCAAATAAAGTATTGATACAGAGATGCCGTACACCGGGGCTTTATACAAACAATGCATGCAGTGAAGATATCGGCGTATACTTACCCGTCCTTGTATGTGGACGACAGTTACTCACAGCAAAACAAGCAGCTCTCATACAATCATCATATTTTACTAAGGAAGTACTTCCTCTCATACATATATGTCTGCATGTGTCTTTGTGTGTGTGTGTGTGCGTTTGTTCTAGTACATAAGGGAAATAACTCGTATTCATTACTAGTAACATGGGGGTATCTGCTTAATGCAATCACGAAAAAATGATGTTTTGACACTTGAAAAAATTGATTGATTGTAGTGGGGACCGTTACATACGTCCCCCAAATACCTCCACAGTCATTATCAATGTAAATAGTATCTATTTAAGATTGATACGAAATGCGATGAAAATTGAACAAAATTTAAATTTCACCACATTAGTCGTCTGCCATTGAGGAGAATGAGAATGTCTTACGTTAATCGTAACAAAAAGATAAGGACGGCCATGCTATTTTAAACTTGGGATACACATATTATATGTTTATGCATTCAAAACCCGGTGAAATTAACAAATTGTTAAAGATGATGATTCTAACGGATGTATACCACAAATATGATGGCTAGTAAAGAGCTGTCTTTCCACATTCAATTTCTTAAACACTAAGCCGTTTTCTTGACTGTATGTCTGTTCTCTAAAGAAAGTGTTTTTATTATCTGATAAAGAAGACCATTATACGCATGTACATGTGTCAACAAACTCCATAAAAATCCAATTTCGATATTAGAGTAGATGAAAGTTCCTGCGGCTTATAGACCGTGTAAAGGAATAACCATATCTATGAAAACGAGCCAAGAAAGACACCGGTAGACTATTGATACAACATATATTTTTTATTCAGTTTTGAAAGAAGGATACATTTGCATATTGACGGCTGAAGACGCGTTTGAAGTATATAATTAGTATTCATAACGATTAACTTACATGTCAGATCAAATCAAAGCATAAAATCAGTTCAAGGGTAAACTTAACATTTAACAAATATACTGTGTACTTCATGTCAATCATGTAGATTTTGATATGTATTGTGTTCACAAAATATGTATGTCCAAATAAGATTAACTGTGTTGTTATTTATCTGTTTCGACTGATTACGTTCTTAGGTTAAGCATTTTAGAAGGTGAGTTTTACTTAACACAGAAGACATTTATCTGCTTAGATATACGGTAATTAAGTTATTAATTACAATAAATAGGCCGACGTACTATCGTTCCGATTAAAAACATACCTTGATCTCCCTATGTAGCGGAGCGAAGTTTACGAAACGGGAGCGATGATCAAAATCTATTTTTAATTTTATTGACATGTTATTAATGTCACTCACTTAGATTTTAATGTGGAGTTAGAATTTGTTAATATCATTTAGTAACATTTGTAAATAAACGTATCATAAAACAATTTATTTTCACTGGCCTATATTTTTGAGCTGTTGTTAATATTGATCCCGAGTTGAAACTTAACAAACGAAATAGTTTGTTCATTCGCCCTGTTTTTTTTATCTAAATGTTTCAAACAGTAGCATATTTGTCATACCACTAAAATTCAAGTCTTAAGTTTGTGATGTAATTCTCATTAAAGCGATAATTAATGTACATTTCATATACAACACACAATTAGTATGCACTCCCTGCATATTACTTAAGATCTTATGAATATTTATAATATCGAAACTTATTTTATGTACATTCACTTTACCAAATGGCATGTGATATCATAGACTTCAAGTCTTACTGAATGATAACACTAAGATCAATAGAACTTACTATATGCCTTCTATACAAGTCCTTGTAAAATCATTTAGAGGGTACCTGTTTACATTATTATAACTCTATATAGATAACAAATGATATGATTATGGTTTGTGTGAGTTTCATTCACCGGTGAGCCACTATTTTGTAGTTGATACCGCTGTGGGTTTATAACTTGACGCCCCTCACCTCCTCATCGTCGCCGTACCCTATCCGGACCACCGATCTCAAACGGTTTGATTCAGGCTCGTTTTCTTTACCTATGCTTTCACTGTTTACGGCAGGGATGCTGTTTTTGATGGGTGATTTGATACCATTAGGACTTAAATCCTTCGATCTTTCTCGAACTCTATTTTCTCGGAGGTCCCCTAGAGATCGGGTGTGAACTCCATAATGTCTAACATTCGCCTTACTTTCGTTAATAAAGGAGCGGCGAATACCATAGGAGGCATATTGGATTGGCGTTGGGATGTTGGCGATACTTTTTGGACGTATAAAATGATGATTTGTCGCTGCTGGTTTAGACCTTGGTTCAGTAATTACAAAATTACGTCCACGGACCGGGTATCCGCTGTTGTTTATGCTACGAATATTAAGTGGAAGATTACCTCTTCTGATGCCATTTCCATTAAGTGGATGTCCACTGACGTGATATTCGCCATTAGTGGCGTTACGTCCATGTCCATTTTCAGATCGTTCATTCTTCCTTTTCTTTCCATCATGGTAAAATCCTTCAGCTAACCCAGTTGGGTCTTGGAAGTTACTATTAATGATACCGGTTTTGCTTGCATGAGAACCTTTCTTTTTCAACATGGCGTCTGTAGAACCAAAATGAGAGATCTCATCCTCAACCTCCTTACATTCGTCTGCACTATGTTTCCTTGAACAACAAGGTAAATTGAAACATAGGATGCCCAAACGGTAGGTCAACAGGAGCACGACAATTATATTCTTAAGCACGAAAAAAACCAAACTGTACGTTAGCAGTTGTAAATAGAAGATGATAAAGAGTCGGAGAGCCAAGAACGGTCCGTCTTGTAAAAACAATCCGGCAAATGTGACGAAAATGTCGGGGAACTGGTCCCCACAACAGGCACAAACATAACTGTTACTCTTGTTTCTCCTATCTTTCGTATTTGTATAGTCTCTAACCGAGTGGACAGCCCGTCTGTTCATCACGACTGGTATAAACTGTATGAAGCTGACAGACCAAATCACCAATATAGCATAGGTTATCATGGTGTTGCCTCGGATTAAATCCTCGTCGAATAATGCAAATAGTTCCATGATGTCTGACGCCATGGCCAGGTAATCAAAAAGGAGGTCGGCAAGTTCCTCACGGGTGACCCTTCCCCTGGGTAAAAGCCACCGACCAATTACAATTAAGTACACCAGTGACTCCTCCACGATTACCACCCACGTGTCAGCTGTAAAACTGTCCAAAAGGCTCTCAATGTTCGCTATTATCCCTCCGGGCTATGGAAGAATAGAAAAAAAATATGTGAAAATATACCAACTCTATTCAGTTTAAAATGTGTAAAACTGATACCAACATTCCTTCACATCTTAATGTTATATACATAACTTCTTAGATATCTACAGTTCTGGCTTAAATTTTGGTCAGTAAAGCTGAAATACGTTTTTTGTTCTATTTTGATGATTAACACCTAGCTATGTTAACTTCTGAATACAGTTTAATCAAACCTTTAGTTTCAATAAATTTTGTACACGATAGAGAGGTTACTATCTCTTTCTAAGGGGCCGCTTAAAACAAAAACGAAAACAAAACTGATAATATTCACATATATAATTTAATATATACGGAGAGGAAAAAGAAATGCAATTAGCATAAAGTTAATATTGTAAATAAAATCCTTGACGTACACCCTTGAAACTTGACAAATGTGTGCACGCCGCTTGTACAAAAGAATAAGAGACAAAAGCACAATATATCTCGAACCCAGTACGAAGAATTGGTTCAAAATCTGTGTGTGCGAATCTTCAGACATATCCGTCTTGATTTCCCAAATTTTAAGCATAAACAGTTCACCGTAAAAATGCCACGACTGTCCGAAGTTGACAGGGGTCGTGCCATTGCACTTCTTATGCAAGGTACCCCGCAAAATCAGGTCGCTAATCAATTTGGAGTCCATCCATCGAACATTTGCCGTCTCATCCAAAGACTACAGGCCACCGGAAGGGTTGCAAACCGTCCCCGAAGCGGTCGCCCTCGTGTGACGACGCGTCAGCAGGATAGGACAATGCGACTTTCACACTTACGCAATCGCTTTCTGACGGCCACGGAAACAGCAAGGAACACAATTGGGCGACATCATGTTCCAATTGATGACAGTGCGTACTCGACTTCGTGTCTTCGGTCTAAGACCGCGGCGGCCATATGTTGGACCACTGCTTGATGCGCGGCGAAGTGCCAGACAAATGCAAGTACTGAACGCACATTCCGTAAGATGCTTCCCAATGCAACGTTGGAGAAGGGTCCTAATTGTTACATATATGTGGGTGTAGATCCGGAATGTCGTTTTATGTATTACGCTATCCTGGCGTATGAATAGGAGATGTACAATAAAATGGTAGTTCCTGTCTGGTGTCGTTTGTACACAGCTCCTAAAGTATACCCACTTTGACAGAATACACAACATATTGGCGACAAGGATGGCCGTTACGACATAACAGTAACAGTATCATGCATTGAAATTCGCCATCACAGTCAACAGAAGGTCAGTTTCGCCCTGTTTTAATTGTGAAGCTTACACCACGTGGTTCGTTCGCTAGATCAACGGGGGCCTGTGAACTCGATAAACTTTTGTTACTGGTATAACAATGGCAGGTCGCATAGGTCGATTAGAATCATTCGACGCCGACACGGAGTCGTGGGAGTCCTACAGTGAAAGACTAGGTCAATATTTTCTTGTAAACGAAAGATAAAAGATGAAAAACAAGTTCCGGCGCTACTCAGTCTGATTGGAGGAAGGACATACAATGTGTTACGAGACCTAACTGCAACGGACAGGCCAGCGACAAAAACATTTAATGAACTGGTGGCGATATTAAAGAATCATCTGTCCCCAAAACCCTTACTTATCGCTGAAAGGTTCCGCTTTCATAAGCGTGATCAGAAGGAGGGAGAAAGTGTAAGAGATTATGTAGCTCAATTACGAAAATTATCGGAGCACTGTGAATTTGGAGTCGTGTTGATGGAGTCACTGAGGGACCGGTTCGTTTGCGGGTTGAAGAATGAGGCAGTTCAGAAAAAGTTGCTGTCGGAAAAAGATTTAAGTTTTGATAAAGCTGTGGATATTGCAGTGGCCATGGAAACCGCCGCACGGGATGCGGTTGAATTACAAGCGAAACACAAGGGTCTGAGTGTACATAGCCTGAAATCAAAGAATCCAAAGTTCAGCTCTAGAAATCAGAAATCATCACAGCAAAACAAACCCAAGGTGAGTTCACACGAGAAGCCGTGTTATCGATGCACACGTCCAGGACATGATCCTCAAAAATGTTTCTTCAAAAATGAAAAATGTAACCAGTGTGGAAAAGTAGGTCACATTAAAAAGGCGTGTCGGCGTGAGGTACACACAGAGAAAAATGGGAAGAAAGTACACTCTCTAGATGACCAGTATTATGAATATGGTGACATTGTAAGTGACATATACACGGTACATGATACACAGTCCCCAGGTCCTTATTGGGTAAAGCCCAGAGTAGATGGGACACCACTACGGATGGAACTGGACACCGGTTCAGCAGTGTCAGTAATCCGGAAACAGGATTTAGTGGAGCATTTTGGGAAAGTTACATTAAACCCCACCACAAAGGTATTCAAGACCTATTCAGGTGAGACTATCACTCCGATTGGGGTAAAGGAAGTCAAAGTACACATCAACAACCAAATAAGTGATCTTCCTCTGTACGTTGTGGAGCGCGGTGGACCTCCTCCATCGTTCGGAAGGAGTTGGCTAAGTGAACTAAAACTGAACTGGGCAGAAATACATGCAGTTTCGGCAGTGTCAGACCGTAGTAACCGTGCTGATTCAGTAAAATCCATTCTCCAGAGATACGCGGAGGTGTTTGAACCTAATCTCGGTACAGTAAAGAATATTCAGGCCAGGTTCATATTAAAGGAGGATAGTCAACCCAAGTTCATGAAAGCGAGGCCCGTGCCTTTCTCTCTTAGGCCAGCTGTGGACAAGGAACTTGATAGACTTGTTAACCTAGGTATACTTACACCGGTTGATCATAGTAGCTATGCTACTACCATTGTAGTAGTGCCCAAGAAAGATGGGTCGGACCGCATTTGTGGGGATTTCAAAACTACTGTTAACTCAATGATTGTGATTGACAAGTATCCTTTGCCTAAGATTGAAGACATATTTGCGAATCTGTCTGGGGTTCAGCACTTTACTAAAATTGACCTGAAGAACGCCTATCTACAAATGGAGGTTGTTGAGGAACAGAGACCACTGCTGACAATTAATACACACCGAGGATTGTTCCGCTACAACAGATTAGTGTTTGGTATCGCTGCAGCGCCAGCAATTTGGCAGCGCACTATGGAGCAGATCCTACAAGGCATCCCAGGTGTCCAATGTATAATTGACGATATGATAATTACAGGACGCACTGAGGAGGAACATCTACAGAACCTGGGTAGTGTACTAGGTAGACTTCAGAAGTATGGATTAAAAGCAAACATTGAGAAATGTGACATTTTTAAAGACAAGATAGAGTTCTGTGGCCATGTCATCAATGCGGGAGGCTTACACAAGACTCAGGAGAAAATCAAAGCTGTTGTTGAGGCAGCAGTACCAGAAAATGTCTCGCAGCTCAGAGCCTTTTTGGGCCTGGTCAATTACTATGGAAAGTTCCTACATAACTTGGCATCAACTCTAAGACCCTTACATAAACTGTTGGAGAAGAATGCACCATGGGTGTGGTCTAGGGAGGTGTCAACAGGCCTTTGTCAAGGTAAAGGAACAGATGACATCAGAGCAGGTCTTAGCTCATTATGACCCAAACCTACCTGTTTCCATAGCTTGTGATGCCTCGCCATACGGCTTGGGTGCAGTCCTGTCTCATGTCATGCCGAGTGGCGCTGAACGCCCGATCGCGTTTGCTTCGCGCACGTGAAATCCAGCGGAGAGAAATTATTCCCAAATTGATAAGGAAGCTTTGGCTATAATTTGGGGAATTAAACATTTTAACGCTTACCTATATGGGAGACATTTCACACTAATCACAGACCATCAGCCATTAGTCTCTATTTTTGGTCCGTCGAAAGGAATGTCTGTTAGCGCGTCAGCACGCATGCAGAGATATGCAGTTTTCCTATCGGGTTATACTTACTCCATACAATACAAGAACACTAAGCTGCATGGGAATGCAGATGGGCTATCACGTCTTCCGTTAAAATCTGCTCGGACACAGAGTGAACGAGAGATTTTAGATGAGTCACACCTGTTCCAAGTTTCCCAGATTGAAACATTACCTGTTTCAGCTTCAGATATTGTGAAAGGGATCAGAAAGAGCCCAACTCTTTGTAAAGTGTTGAATGACGTTTTACACGGGTGGTCACAGGAGGACAAAGCAGCATTACCCTTTTATGACCGACGGAATGATATTACCGTTCAACAAGGCATTCTGCTGTGGGGAATTAGAGTGATAATTCCAGAAGAACTGCAACCTCGAGTCCTAGAGGAACTCCACTCAGGACATCCGGGAATTGTCAAGATGAAAGCTCTCGCCAGGAGTCATGTATGGTGGCCATGGATTGACAAGGATCTTGATCAGCTCGCTAAGAACTGTAATGGTTGTCAGGGTAACAGAAACACAGCAAAAGAGGCGCCAGTTCACCCATGGGAATTCCCCATGACACCTTGGCAAAGGATCCATGTGGATTTTGCTGGACCCTTCCTAAACAGTATGTTCTTGGTAGTGGTGGACGCCCACTCCAAGTGGCCCGAGGTCGTTCAGATGGGTTCTACAACAGCCTCAAAGACCATTGAAGTGCTACGGTGTATTTTCGCCAGAAATGGAATCCCTCAGCAACTAGTGAGTGATAATGGACCGCAATTTGTTTCTTCTGAGTTTCAAGATTTCATGCGTGGAAATGGGATCCATCACATTACATCGGCACCATATCATCCAAGGACGAACGGACTCGCGGAAAGGTTTGTTCAGACTTTCAAACAGGGACTAAAGTCAGCATTGAAGGATAACGGGTCGATACAGAGGAAACTACAATGTTTTCTGATGTCCTATAGGAACACGCCCCAATCTACTACAGGAGAGACACCTGCAAGCCTATTCATGGGTAGGAATTTACGGACAAGGTTGGACTTGCTACGGCCTAACTTGAAGGAGAGAGTGGAAAAGGCGCAAGCTCGAATGTGTAAGGACAGCAATCTGGGTAAAACTAGGAGTTTTGAAGTTGGTGACTAAGTCCAAGTAAGGGATTACAGAGGAGATACCAAATGGGCACATGGAATTGTAAACGCAACAACAGGTCCCATTTCATACAAAGTGGAAACATCACCAGGACAGGTCTGGAGACGCCACACCGATCAAATTCTGGGGTCGGTCCCTAAGGATGTATCCGAGAACCCATTGGTGGAGCATCTCGTAGAGGCTGATATGGTGATTGCCAAGCCTACAACCGTGACAAACTCCAGTGTTCCCCAGGATGTTGGTAAAGTAAACAGCCCAAAGGACTCAAGCAAGAAAGCGTCACCTATGACAAGGGTTGAACATCGGTACCCCGTGAGAACTAATCGGAGAGCACCGGTTAGGTTAGATTTGTAGGGTCAGATCATGGTGTGTACGGGCATAATAATCATGTGTGATCTGCAGAGCCCCAGGGCTCTACGCAAGTTTCTTTGTTAATCTAGTCAGTTAGCGTAATTCTCATTTATTGTTTCTAGTCAAGTAGCTAGTTGTTTTTAGTTTAACCGTTGTGATAATCTTGACTGACTGAAATAAGAAGATGTAAGACTGGTCAGTGGTGAAAGTTGCTTTATTCATTTTTATAAAAAAAAAAAAATGAACGTGACATTTGTTCAATTTTCAAATTAACTGTCTTCAGAACTAAAAGGGGAGGAGTGTTACATATATGTGGGTGTAGATCCGGAATGTCGTTTTATATATTACACTATCCTGGCGTATGAATAGGAGATGTACAATAAAATGGTAGTTCCTGAAATGGCCGCCACTGTCTGGTGTCGTTTGTACACAGCTCCTAAAGTATACCCACTTTGACAGAATACACAACACTAATCTTAGATGAGTCCAGGTTTTCGCTGTACCGGGCAGACGGCCGACGTCGTGTCTATAGACGTACCCACGAGCGCTATGCAGATGCTTACGTGATAGAGAATGACCGCTTTGGAGGAGGATCGGTCATGGGGAGGGATCGCGCATGGTATCAAGACTCCACTGGTCGTTATTCAGGGAAATCTCACGGCCGTCTGCTATAGAGATCAAGTCCTAGCGCCTCATGTTCTTACTCTAGTACAGCAGCGTCAACTAACGTTTCAGCAGGACAACGCTCGGCCGCATGTAGCGAGGGTATGCCGTGGTTATCTCGCAGCAAACAATGTCCCCACCCTAGACTGGCTCCCATACAGCCCTGACCTCTCCCCAATAGAACATTTATGGGACGAGTTGGACAGAAGGATAAAACGTAGGCCGAATCCTCCAATCAACGTCGCTCAGCTGGCGTTGGCGCTGGATGAGGAATGGAATCGTATACCAATGAGGAGGGTTAATGCCCCGATCAATTCAATGCACAAAAGAGTTCGTGCAGTTACTGCAGCTCGCGGGGGGGGGAGGGGGGGGGGGGGCACACACTACATTGATGGGTCCAGAAAGCACTTCATTTTGAGTGGGTACTCTTGAATCAACGTCAAATTAAAAAGGTTTACTTACCGTACACGAATGAAATTCTCGTAGATGACAGAGTGGTCAACTATCTTCTAGTTACACCATAATTACATTCTAAAACCCTTTTCTATTTCCCGTAGTTGACCTGGAAATTCCTAATCGCGTTTCTTTTTCCTCTCAGTATAATTGAGCACATTAAAATTTCTTTCTTTTCTATGATTCCTCTTAACATTCGAAAGACGAAGACTGCGATAAAAAGTGTTACGATAATAGAATAATTTTGATTGTACCAAAACATTTTGATCATAGTCTAACATCATTATGGTATGATTAACTTTGTGAAAAACTCCACAAAGCTAACAAAGTTGAAGTCAGTATCTATTTCTCGTGTAGATAAGATAAAAAGGATTCGTTGCATCCTGAGTATAAAAAAGATGTATTCAGAAAGAAATCCATTGTTCTGTATCATGCTACAGACTTGTTTAGCAGGTTTTGTAAAAGCTTACACGGAGCGACGATGAATATTACAAAGACAAATATTTAAACTTGCACTAGCAAGTTCCTGTTCGTCTGTATTATGTTCGACTAGTTTGTTAAACTCCAACCAGAAAAAGTCAAGTATGTATTCAATACATTCAGCTGTAAGGTACTGAGAAGGGGTGTATAGATTAGTAACTCCCGAGGAGCTCCATCTGAGACCCCTTTTAAGTGTACTGGAAGACTAAATATGATTGTAGGACTACATAGCGAGCGTACAATTAGATATTATGATATTATAAAGGTTTGCATTATCACTAACACAACACTACATTCTCATCACGCATACCAAGGTGAACTGTCTTTGTGGAATGAATAAATCATCCAAACACAATTTTCGTGACATATAATTATATGAATATCAGTTACAAATCTACCTAGTAAAATGGGAAACATATTTTTAAAACAAAGTTGAAACATAATACACATAACGACAACAAACATTTACAAGGCAACTTTACCGTAGTTGTTGTCATAGAAACGGTAGACGTGAGCAGCTCAGTGACGTTGACGGGCAATGGAGTAGTGGTCATAGAAGTGTTCATCGTGCCCAAGGTATGAGATGTGACGGCAGACATGGTGACGTTCATAATGTCCGAATTGTTGGAAGTGGTAGTTGCCATGGTAACCGTCTCGTTACTGATCCGTGTACTGGAAATAACAGTCGAAGCAGTGGTCAGTGACGATGTTACTACACTGGTCACTGACTGGACACCAGAGGGAGTCAAAGTGACATTAGCGATAGTAGCGATTCTAGTCTGACTTTCCATGTATTTTTTCATCTGAGATATCTCCAGCAACCATATAGAAGGTAATGTTATGATCAGGTAGATGGCGAAACACGGACACAACCTGAAACAGATCCGATACATAGTCAAACCTCCACTGCATTTGTCAACATCAGAGTTCTATCATGATAAATATACCTTGTAGACCCGAATTAATCTGTATTAAATGTAGTATTGTTCTGATATGTCTAGATAGTGACAATGATACATGAATTAAATCTAACAGAAGTCATTATTTATTTCAATGCCTCTGCCAGGATTTGAGCCCGGGACCTCTAGCTTACTAATCTGACGCTCTACCGATCGAGCTAAAGTTCCCTGTGACCGAGCGGTATGTTGCGTGCAGTGTTTTACCACGGGTACATAAACAAAACGTTTGATTTTATAACTTACCACTTCCACTCTATACCCTTGTTAACTCGGATGGTAATATATCCCTCCAGGCCAACTAATAACACTCCTAGTGACATTAACCAGTAGTGAAGGTCATTCCAGGCCAAGGTCACTCGCCATGTTGCCAATATTGTGTGAAGCACCAGTAGAAGTCGGACGAAAATTGCCATAGCAACTGTCGAGAGGTGTGTCTTCGACTTGTTCTTCATTTCTTTATCGGCAAATCAAAGTAAAACAGAACACTAAGCACATCAAATACTGTAATATAGATTTATTTTTAGAAAATTGACGCATTCTAGGAACAAAGCACAAACTAGAACATGTGTATAAGTGAATTATATAACAGCGTATCTCGATAAAAACACTGTCATTTGTCTATTTATTTACTTTGCAAAAATTGCAAAAAAAAAAATTATGAAAAAGATATAAATAGAAGTTAATTGGTGTTTTTGTGCACGTTTTAGACAAGTATGAATAGAAACACTCACTAAAGTCTGGTTCACACGGCTATCATATCGTTAAGTAATCTAGACACAGATACAAAATATATCATTGTCAAAAATTCGGGTAATATTGCATGTATACTGGCTTCAAGTTATCGCATGATATCGCTAAGTAATCTAGACAGAGAAACGAAATGTATCATTAAAAATGTCAAAGGCTAGGGTAACAAGGAATGCAAAGTGGCTCCAAGACATCCATATCTCTCTTTCATCCCTTACCAATGGTCAAGTGCTGATCTCACGAGATATTCACAAAGTCAACTCTGACGAGGCGGTCAACCACTGGATCGGCCCTTTCCCTGTACGAAACTGTGGTGGAACGGCGGAACTATTAGAGTTGCCCAGTGTTTCTCGTCACCGTGAAGCAGAGCCTGAGAGAATACAGATATCACTTTACACACTTCTTAAGAAAAAATCCTTTTTGTTTGCTTTTGTCACAAACAATACATCTTATAGTATGAAGTATAAAAATGTGCTCATACTTCTTTATAAGTCGTTTTGTTAGTTGTTTTAAATATATGTGAAAAGAAGAAACTAAAAGTTTTGAATACTTTTTTGAAGCTAAACGGATAAAGCATGTTCACAACACCAATTTAAAATGTGCAGTGTTTCAAAGGCCCTGTAAGTCAATCAACAATTCATGACGACTAATTATAATACATAATAACCGACATTTAAATTCTCCCTGCATGGTTTAAATACCCTACAATGTCTACCCGAGACAAAGTAAGGTAATACTATGATGAAATCGGTGACCCGCGCTGAGGTGAATGATAATTTTTAAAAGAAGGGAAATACATTGAAAAAATCCAAGCACAATATAAAGTTGTTTTGACATATACCTGTGACTATCATTCAATATAGCATTTATGTACCTTCTCGGAGCCAAATCAGCACAAACACATTAGTTTGGTTTTCCAGACCCCAGTTGACCAAAGCTTCGTTAGATTTGACTAATAATTGACGAAATATCTCAAATATTGCGAATGAAAACATACGGACTTTACTTTCAAAAGTCATATATATCAATTTAATACCATATATCTACAATTGTGAGACGATACAGACTATTTAAAATTACTTTTAATTCATATTGTATAAGATTTTCACTAACAACTCTAACAAAGCTTTGCACTACTTGGGCCTGGTGAGAAGGGGTTAAATAATTGCTTGCAACAATGCGAGGCGCTACTTAAACATATGCTATACCTAAGAAACACTCAAACATCTACAGAACTCATGTGTTGCTTTAGGTTTGGTGAGTATAATATTGCTGAAAACAAACACTTTCACTCACTAAAAAAAATTGTTATCATTCAATGGCACAAAAATATATCGTTGA